GGGCCCGTGAAGGTTTCTTCCAGGTAAGTTGCTAACTCGGGAACGTGAGAAGCTAGAAGACCGGGGTTTTGAAGGGATTTTTCCTAACAGTTCTGGCGGTCACTCTGAAATTCTTTCAGCTAGAAGCATCTGCCGGAAAACCAGTGCCGTTAGCGGCAAAATTTGCGGGGAGCTATGCAAAAAACGCATCTTCCCACGGGCAGCCTGTGCTTTGGCCAATTATTGGAATCATTGCAATGAGCGCGAGAAGTGTGGTCTGTTACGGTTTGGGGCAAATTTGGTAAAGCTAAGGTGCTTTTTTTCTTGGGGACACCGTGATTTACTATTTTTCAGGAAAGTATGGAAAGAGAAAGTTCGCGGCTTAGTGCACTTCATCTTGTGGGTCAGCTGAAGAGCGAACTGCATCGTTTGAAGGGCGAAGCATCCGATGCTGGAAGTGTTGCATCGTCTGTTCTACACTCTTCCAGTTGTGATCACGAGCAGCAGCACCCTCGGTTTGTGGACCCGCATGATCACGATGATGAAGTAAGCTCCTGCGCATCGCCTGATGCTTAATTCAGTTAGTTTGGTCTCAGCGCAATATGCATCGAACAAGCGATGACATTCTTGATCGTCGTTACTTGCTTTTTTATGCGTTTTGTGCTGTGTAACAACAGTACAAAACACATATTGTCACGGGGGTGTGTGTGTATCCGCAGCAACTTGTTCGCAATTTTCAAGTCGGGAAAAGCTAGAAAGTTGAAAACTTAAGGGAATGTTCCCCACCCAAGTGTGACTCCGCAAATTTAAATTCAGCCTTTCCGTATGCGCGAGTAACACATTTGGTTCTGTAAAAATTTTGCTGAAGAAGATAATTATCTCGGGAACCATGGAAGCTAGAAGGCTGAAATTTTATGGGTATATATCTTGCCTTTGTGCGATTCCGAAAATTTAAATGCAGCCTCCCTCTATCCGCGAGTACCCATATGCGGCCGCATGAAACTTTTAGTGGATAAACTATCATCTCGGGAACCGCGAAATCTACAAGGCTGAAATTTAAGGGTAATGATCCCCTGCCCACGTACGACCTAAACAAATTCAAATTCAGCGTTCTCACGCTCTCGGGTATCACCTAACACCCTGCGAAACTTTGGCGAGTAGATTATTATCTCGAGAACCACGGGATCTAGGAAGCTGAAATTTTGGGGAACTGTTCGCTGTCCATGTGCAACCCCTCAGATTTAAATTCAGAGCATTGAAAATCATTAGCAGGCAATCGTTCGGTGGATGAAATTGCACAAAACACATAATCGCACCGGCTACCCTGGTGCGTGCCGCTATTTATTTCTTTTACGCTTGATTTTGCCGTGAAGTTATTGCAGGCATTGCAAAACTTTTCACTGTGGCTTAAGCTCAAAACTGCACTGTAAAAAGCATACACTCTTTCAGACTGTTTTTCATTTTTCTTTCCTTGCCAACTTTATTTTTTGAGTTTTGTTCAATAAATGTTTCGCCCCATGTTTCATTTAATAGAAAATTAGCAAAATGGGCTTTAGATAGCGAAAGATTTACAATGCTACTTTGTACTTAGCCGTTTTAGACTGTTTCAACACCTTCCGCGCATGAATCAGAGGATCAGGACACCGCACTGTCACACGCCGAAGAGGAGACTCGTGCACATGCGGAACTGGAGTTGGCGAGCACTCGAATAGCCTTGGATGAGCTTAGGCTGGAACACCGAAGAGTTACTCAGGAAAAC